CTCCATTTCTCTCTTTTTCCTCCCCCCCCCTCGCTCTCCTCGGTCAGCAGAGCAGCAGCACGAAGAAAGACAAGGAGGCCTCGGCGGAGGACAAGAAGCGCAACCCGATCCTCAAGTACATCGGGAAGCCGAAAAGCGCCTCCCAGAGCAGTGAGTGTCCGGCCGGAGGGTGTGTGTGTGTGTGTGTGCGTGTGCGTGTGGCAGGCAAGGGGTGGCAGGTGTCCCGCTCTATTGACAAGGTGTCACAGAGGAACCCCCTCTCTCTCTCACACACACACACGCACACCCATATATGGGGATCCTGGCCTTTCCCTTCCCCAGCCAGAGATGGGGGTGGAGAGGTTTCCAGTAGGCTCCCCCCCCACCGGCTTATCCCACCCGTTGGCATCACGTATTTCTCTTTTCACCAGTGCTTGGCCAGCTTAATTTTGACATTCCATTGTTTTATTTTCCTTTTCAGCATTTCATGTCCCTTTATCCCCTGTCGAAGGTAAACATGAAACCGCCCCTTTTTCCCCCTGCGGATGGCTTTTCATTCGTCCGTTCCCCCCCCCCTTCGCTCCCTTCCTCCCCTTTTGCTGCTTATTTGGCCAGAGGGGCAGGGTGGGGGGGTCCTTCGCCACCCAAATTCTGCCCTGGCAGGGGCCACAGATTCGGGGGTGGGGTGGGGGAAAAGGAGGGGAGAGGCCCCCCTCCCATACAGCCCTTGTCTCTCCCCCCGGCAGGGCTTGCTTGCCCCCGGAGGCCAGGATTTGGGGGCTTTCTCAGGGGCTGCTGTCGTTCCGCAGAAGGTCCCCGGCGCGCTTTCCAGTGTGGGGCAGGCAGGCCAGCAGCGGGGGGGGGCGCTTTGACGTTGCCCTCTCAGAGGCCCCTCCAGCCCCCCCCAGGCCCCCCTCCTGCAAGGGGAAATGCCTCTGAAACCAGAGGGTTTTAAAAGAGGGCCAAGGGGACCTCCCTGTTTTGTTCAGAGCAGCTGGAAAGGGGTGTCCTGTTTGCCCCCCCATGTCCCCTGTGGGGAGCAGAATTGCGGCAGAGGGGAGGGGGGGCACCTTCCTGCCTTGAAGGCTTGGGCTCAGACCTGCTCATCTTCTGTGGCGCTCTTTCCTTGCACAGCCCCCCATCCCCACTTCTCATGACACAGGCGTCCTGGGGGGGGGAGGCTACTGGGAGACACACGCACCCACAATGTGCGGCCAGGCCTGAGATCACGGGCGGGGGCCACCAACTTGGTCCCGAGTCCACCTGAGCTGGCAGCTGCTGTGGTGGCCCCGACAGGGCCCCGGAGCCTCACGGAGGAGAAGGGCTTTAGGGCTGAGGAGCCAGACCGGGGGGGGGCTTGGAGTGGGAGTAGAAAGGGGAACACCCCCCCCCAGCCTTTCTTGCCTTCTGAGGAAAGGGGAAGATTTGAGCCTCTGGCCTTCCTGGCCTCTGGGGGACCCACAGGAGGAGCGCTTGGGGTGGGAGCTGGGAGCCGGGTCACTTTGGTTTGG